AACTGTAATTTTTTAAAATTTTTTAAAATAAAATGTAAATAGAAGAAGGGGGAAAGTACTAATCTATAATTTTGCATGCCATTTTTTTTTAAGTTTCCTTCTTAGAAAAAAAATCAGCCTTGTTATTCTGAAAGCTGATCTAAAATTTATAATCATCTAAGAGTCACATTCCCACGCTCCTTACCCCATGCCTGGCACAAAGTAAAAGCTCAAACCATACTTGATGAATGAGCGATGATCTATTTCTTGGCTGAGCAGTGAAGTTGTAAAATAAGATTGCTTAGGGCAGGAGGTTCTAAACTTAAGCCTGAGAACAGGGCAGGGTGAACAAGAGCGAAGCCGGCAGGAAAGCAGCCGGAAACCCATGGTAAAGGCCAGCTACGTTGGCCAGGAGGAAATGTGTGGTTTCCTGAATTGTACCCGTTCAAAGCCATGAACTTGGAAGCATACCATATATGTAGCATGTCAGGTCCGTAACTGTCCCTTCAGTCACACTCTGGAGTGATTTGGAAAAGGTTATTTATAATCCTGGGCTCCTCTGTCCCTGTGCATTGCTCCTGGAAGGGATATGGAGGTGGAGGCAGCTGTAACAGAAAAATAAGGCTGCCAAGAACTGGAGTGGGTACACTTCACAGAGCACCACTTACAATGTCTTTAAAGGAGGATTTTTTTAAAATCCTCACCCAAGGATATGTTTAATAATTTTTTTAGAGAGAGGAAGGGAGGAAGAGAGAGTCATTGATGTGAGAGAGGAACATCAACGTCAGAGAGAAACATTGATCAGCTGCCTCCTATAAGTGCCCCAAATGGAGACCAAACCCACAACCTAAGTGCCCTGACCAGGAATAGAACCTGAGATCTTTTAGTGTATGGGATGACACTCCAGCCAACTGAACCACACTGGCCAGAGTCTTAGAGGAGGACTGTTAAGCTAGAGTGACTGGGCCTCCTCTGGGCACCATAGTGGGATTTCAGGAAACGCTGCACACCCTGTAATTGGTGTAAAGTGAGTGAGTGTGTGTCTGTCTGTCTGGAGAGGGAGCCTCAGATTTCATTAGATTCTTGTGTCTTTGGTTGTAAGACCTTCTCCTTCTTTGGCTTTATCAACTCAGGTGGGGCTCCTCTAAACCCATCACTATCCATTAGAGGCTGAGCGGGTGGCGAGAGGTGGGGATGAGAGGGGACTAACCATGTGGAAGGCTTTCTATTAACTGAGTGAATAGATGTGGATGGATTAGAGAGTGCCCAGCATATACTCGTATAAGGACCTATACATATTCACTCATATTATTACTATTGCTCTTTGCTAAATGCTTTCTGAACTTCACAACAACACCATGAGGTCAGCATAAATCCCACGCTTGTAAACCCTCGATTTTGCAGACCTTGATTTTAAAGAGTTTGAATTTAACGAATAAAAATTTCGTCTATATGCCATAGGTGAAAATTAACACCCTATTAATTTTAAAATGCTTTTAACCAAGATTTTCTAAAACCCAAATTAACAGATTAACTCCTTGTTATTCACTGTTATTTTTAACAAATTTTAGCAAATAGGCCATATGTTGGAAAAAAACACTGTAGTAATTTCACCCACATACATATTACATATCTACAACTATGGTCTACATATTTAAATCCAAGAGTCACTGCTCATGAACAATGTTCAGTGAATGATTAGCACATGATCACACCCCATGGCATAAGGTAATTGGTTCTGCAGAAGTTTTTTTTTTTTAAATATATTTTATAGATTTTTTAGAGAGAGGAAGGGAGAGGGATAGAGAGTCAGAAACATCGATGAGAAACATCGATCAGCTGCCTCCTGCACAACACCTACTGGGGATGTGCCTGCAACCAAAGTACATGCCCGTGACTGGAATCGAACCTGGGACCCTTGAGTCCGCAGGCTGATGCTCTATCCACTGAGCCAAACCGGTTAGGGCTCTGGAGAAGTTTTAACGCCTGCTGGCCCATGTTCCCACCTGCGCTAAGCTGTGGGTATGTGTTTACTTGCAGTGACTGGTGAGTGCACGCATTTACTAGACCTATTCACTATAACTTTAAAATTACAATGATAAATATAGGAAGCTTTTCTGTGAAATTAAACTTTTCATACATACTTAATTTTAATTATACAAATGTGTCTACGTAAGTAAAAGCAGGTAAACTAATTTGTCAATGTTTTAACATATACATTTGGAAAACCTACTTTATTATATAATGGACTTTCAGCTTTCACAGACACCCCCTCGCCTGAATTAGTTTTACTGTATCTTACTTGTGAGGGAAGGAACTCGGGGATTGAGTAAAGCAGCGGTTCTCAATCTGTGGGTCGCGACCCCTTTGGGGCTCCAAGGACCCTTTCACAGGGGTCGCCTAAATACATCCGGCATATCAGATATTTACATTACGATTCATAACAGTAGCAAAATTACAGTTATGAAGTAGCAACGAAAATAATTTTATGGTTGGGGGTCACCACAACACGAGGAACTGTATTAAAGGGTCGCGGCATTAGGAAGGTTGAGAACCACTGGAGAAAAGTAACCCGGGGGCACACAGCTAGTGGTAGAGTTCAGAAGGAATTGCAAAGTGTGGACTCTTTGGCTCCACCCCATGGCCAGAATTACTGGCCAGGCTTTCTCAGGAGGCAGCCTTCCTGACTCTGCTTAAGGCTTTCACATCCAAGCTTCAGGGTCTTGCTCTCTCCATGAGTGTCCTAACAGGCACTGAGCCTAAAAATTAGCTTCTTGGAGCCAAGGCAGTATCTACTTGCTCATGTATTATGAACCCTGGCATCCCACTCAAATTCCACACACAAAGCTAGCTCCTCTCCTAGGGCATGGAGTGATAACTAAAGAAATAAATCACACTTATCAAGGCGCCCTGGCCTCTCGGATGCAGCCACGTCAAAGGCTGGAAGGAAAGGCATGTTTTTCTCCTAGTCACCAACCAGAGTGAGGACGCTCTAAGTGCAGTTTCCTATCTTTTGGTTTTCAGATCCATGCTAAGAACTGCAGTTAAATATCCGCTACTAAAACAGCCTTCCTGAAACCACGTGAGGACCCTGACAATTGCATTGTACTGAGCACTTTTTGTGTGTCTGCGCTTTAAATGTGATCCCTGTGCCTCACAGGAGCCAAGCTGGCGGGCTAGGTGGCATATTTTGAGAGGTTGAGTCCCTCAGGTCACACAGGCAGCGAGCAGCAGAACTAGGATGTGAACCCATCCCCCGGATGACAGCACCAGAGTTCTTACCCATACGCCTCCCACCATGCGCACACAGCCACTGGGATTCACGGCAAGCAAGGCCAGTATCCCCCTCCGTTTTCCCTGCAGCCACTTCCCTGACACCTGGCCGAACTCAGGAGGAGAAGCCAAGACAGATGGACTTTATAAGTAGAAGATCCGGGTTCCAGGTGCAGCTTTGCCCCTTCCTAGCGTGTCGCCTTGGGCAGATCACTTAACCTTCCAGAGTCTCCGTTTCCTCGCCTATGCCATGCAGGTCAGTGCTCGCTGGTGCACAGATCCAGAAGAGAATTCCAGCTCAGGCTTCAGTGTTAAGCAAATGTTAGTTACCACGCCCCTTCCCGAACCCACTAATTCAAACACTAGGTGGTGGCCCTTTCTCAGCCTCCTCACTGCCCTCCTCTTCAGCGTTCCTCTTGGCCACCTCCGCCGCCGCCTCCTCCGACACCCCTCCTCCCTAGTAGCTGCTGCTTCGTTTCCCCTCATTTCAGTAGTTTTCTGGACTCCTAGGCAGGACTGGCCGGGGTGCTCGCAGCTTTCCTTCTTCCCATTCGGCTCTGGGCAGGAGTCTGTCCTCCGGCAGGACCCGGAGCATCGGGACCCAGCGCTGCGCTCTGGGCTGCTCCGCGCGCCCTCACCGCCCGTGCCCCGTGCGCAGCTGGCCGCGCGTCCCGCCCCTCGGAGGGGTGTGCCCCGAGAGAGTTTAGATAGGAGGTGCCAGCTGGGCACACCCGGCAGCCCACGGAGCTTCCTCTGCGGCGCAGCCTCTCCTCCCGAGGGGCACGCGGAGCGGCCAGGATCTGCTCAGCCCCGGACGCGGGGGCCCCGGCCCTCCCGCCGCCTCCACGCCGCCCGCCATGAAGCCGTCGTTCCTCCGCTGCCAAAACACCACCTCGGTGGAGAGGGGCTACTCCGCGGCCATGGGCTGGGTGCTCTTCAGCGCGGGCCTCCTGGGCAACCTGCTGGCGCTGGGGCTGCTGGCGCGCTCCGGGCTGTCGTCCTGCTCGCTGCGCTCGCCGCGCCCGCCGCCTTCGGTCTTCTACGTGCTGGTGTGCGGCCTGACGGTCACCGACCTGCTGGGCAAGTCCCTCTTGAGCCCCTTCGTGCTGGCGGCCTACGCGCAGAACCGGAGCCTGTGGGGGCTGGTGCCCCCGCCGGGCAGCTCTCTGTGCCAAGCCTTCGCCTTCTTCATGTCCTTCTTCGGCCTCGCCTCGACGCTGCAGCTCCTGGCCATGGCCCTGGAGTGCTGGCTCTCCCTGGGGCACCCCTTCTTCTACCGACGGCACATCACCCTGCGCCGGGGCGCGCTGGTGGCGCCCGCGGTGGGCGCCTTCTGCCTGGCTTTCTGCGCGCTGCCCTTCGCGGGCTTCGGCAAGTTCGTGCAGTACTGCCCGGGCACCTGGTGCTTCATCCAGATGGAGCACGAGGAGCGCTCGCCGTCGGTGCTGGGCTACTCGGTGCTCTACGCCAGCCTCCTGGCGCTGCTGGTCCTCGCCATCGTGCTGTGCAACCTGAGCCCC